GCCCTAGGACTCTCCTCTTCTTCATCATCCCCCAACTCTCCTCCACCCCTTTGTCTTTTTTTTTTTTTCCCTCTCCCCCTCTTTCTCCTCCTTTCCGTAAGGCTCAGTACAAGGGGCACCGCGAGTAATGCGGGATCATTACCATATGGGGCTCCTCCGGGGCTACAGGGACCCCCGCCCCCGCCCCGCAGCCCCCCAGCACGCAGCCGCGGCGGCGCTGCGCGGGAGCGGATCCCGCTCTCTCTCCCCCGCCGCCTCCCCCCACGCTCGCACCCCCTCTTTTTCCTCCCCCTCTTCCTCCTCCCCCCCAACCCATAGTGCCGGGGAGCGGGATCGCCCAGGCACGACCCCGATGAATAATCCCCACCGCCTGGCACGGCGGGGGAGGAGCGGGGCGGGGGGGGCGGGCATTGCGGTGCCTTTTCCCCTCCCTCCCTGGGATCACACCCCGCTCGCACGGGGGGAGGTGCGGCCGCCCAGCCGTTTTTGGGCGGAGGGGGCGCTCGGAGCGGTCTCCCCCGGCGGAAGGGCAGAGGCGGCGCAGACCGGAGCCCACCCAACTCCGGTTTCCCCTTCCCCCGCCCTCCGGCCCTCTCTAAACTTGTCCTGTCCAGCCTCCCCCCACCCCTCTCCCCGTCCTTCACCCCAGCCCTCCTCCGTGAGTGTGTGTGCGCCCTATCCACTCGCTAATTGAAGAGCTGGGATTCCTCACGTGAGAAGTTGATTTGTAGTTTGAACACGTGGCTCATTCAAAAAGCCGGAATATTCAAGTAATTTTTTTCTCTCTCCCTCCGCCCTTCCCTCCCCCCCTCCCCTTCTCTCTCTCTCTTTTTTTTTTTTTTTTTATACGGAGAGGCGGCGCCTGCATGCACGTAGTGTGACATTTTCATAGTCCGCCTGCTGCTGCCAAAGGGGTTCGGGGGCAAGACAAAAAAAGTAGTTTTTTTTCCCCTCCCCTCCTCCTTTTCCTCTCCTCAGCCCGCCATCCGCGGCCCCGGCGTTGGGTGTTTCCCCCGCGCCCCCCATGCGCCCGGGTAGCACGGCAGGCACTTAGGGCTCCCGTTTGGCTACGCTTTTTTTTTTTTTTTTTTTTTTTTTTTTTTTTTTTTTTTTTTTTTTTTACCCCTTGAGAGGGAGAGGGAGGGACACAAGCTGCAGATCTGATTTTTTTTTTCCTTCCTCTCCCTGTCCTCTCTCTCTCTCCCTCTCTCTCTCTCCTTCCTCCATCGCATTTTGTTTTATTTCCCCCTTCCTCCCCACCTCCTCTCGCAAGACGAGGGTTGCAGCCCGCGGTGCGCGCCTCCCCGAGCCGCCAGGAAGATGAACAAGCTCTACATCGGCAACCTCGGCGAGAACGTCAGCCCCCTCGACCTGGAAAGTCTCTTTAAGGACTCCAAGATCCCCTTCTCGGGCCAATTCCTGGTGAAGACGGGGTACGCCTTCGTGGACTGCCCCGACGAGAGCTGGGCTATGAAGGCCATCGAAGCACTTTCAGGTGAGCGGCTCCTTCCACCCCCCCACCCTCTCTCCGCAGCCCCGACGGCTCCCGCCGCCCGCCTTCCTCCGCGGCGGCGGAGCGGCTGCAGCGGCGGGCTAGGACCCGCCGCCGGGCTGGGGGGGATGTTGGGGAGGGTCCCTGCCCCTTCCGCCTCCAGGTGAGGGGCGAACTGTTGTTTTCCGAGCGCGGCCGGAGCCGCCCGGCCTTCCCGCGGAGACTTTGCGCGGGGCTTGCGCTGCGGCGGCCCCCCGGGAGTGGCCGGGGAGTGGGGCCGGGGAGGGGCGGGAGCCTGGGCCCACAGACCCGCGGCGCGGCAGCTCCCATGTTTTTCCAAGCCCCACGGCCAGCCCTGCCCGGCCGGGGGCCCTCGCTGCATCTGGGGGAGGGGGGGGGGGGGGGGGGGGGGCGGTGAGTGCAGTGAGGCGGAGGCGGGCTGCGGGCGCGGAGCCCTGCGCGGAGCAGCGGCTGCACACACACGCCCCCCGGGCACAGCTGGACTCCCCCGCGGCCCCTCGGAGGGGCCGCCTCCCTCCAGAGCGGGCTGAGGTTCCCCTCGGTTTGGCGTAGGCCGCGGGCCTGGGGGCGAGCCGCCGAATTGCTCCAAACTTGGTGGGGGGAGCCCTGCCTGCCCCCCCGCTCCGCGCTGCCCGGCTATTTATTTCGGTTTCTCTTCGCTGCTCTCACGCACCCATCACCGCCTCCAGCAGCGCCGGCTCCTGGCCCCGACATCCTGTTTTTGTGTGCTTTAAAAAAAAAAAAAAAAAAATATTTTCGCGTGAAGCGGGTCTGCGGAGGTCTGCCGGGAGAGGCTGCCTCGCAGGAGATGGGCTCAGGTCTGCCGGGAGAGGCTGCCTCGGAGGAGATGAGCTCGGGCTGCGCTCCGCGCCTCCTCTCGGCTCCCTTCCCGCCCGCTTCCGAGCTGAAAACCACCCGAAGTTGGCAGCGCGGGGGGCGGCGGAGACCCTGCTCCCCCTCCCCGAGACGGGGCAGAGCCCGGCTCCCACACACGGCGTTTCGCCGGCTGTTTGCAGTGCGGGGCGGGGGAAGGGGCCCCGCCGAGGGCAGCGCGGTTTCCCCCCGCCAGCGGCGCGGCCCCGGGCGCCGGGATGTGTCTCCTTGCCGGGCGCCGCGACCCCGCTCCGGCGGTGCCCGGGCTGCCGATGAATGGGCTAACGTGTTGCGCTCCCGTTCCCTGCCTCGCACCCCTGCGAGCCCGCTCCAAGAGACGGGGACGCACAGCCGCGCTCGAATATTTTCCCCTTTCTGTTTATCTCGGCAGGTAAAGTGGAGCTGCATGGGAAACTCATAGAAGTTGAACATTCGGTCCCGAAAAGACAAAGGTAATTTATTTTTATTTCCAACCCCCCTGCCCCTTGCTCTTAGTTACCCAGTGAGAAACAATTTGAAAAATGCTTAGGTTTGTGTTTCTCTTCCCTGTAGATAAATGGACCGCTTTCTTAAAACCACAGGCGTGCACTCAGTGCTGTCCGAGAGGTTTTCTAGTATCACCCCATGTATTTCTAATGTAGTGTCTTGGCCAGGCAGCAGTGGTACTATTTAATTTATTTAAAAAAAAAATAATAAAAGCGCCTTTTTGTGGGAGAGGCAGGTTATTATGGTCTGATGACAAATGATTGTGAAGATGGTAAAATTTAAAGTTCTGTGAGAAGAGTTAAAATCTGTGCTAGCAGGAAATGAAATGTGGTGTTGTGAACTGTATAACGGGCAAGCATGTGAGCTCTGCTTCAGCAACAGAAAGCACCTTGTAAATATACTGGTGTATATATTTTTTTGATCCTGCCGTGTTGGAGTCTGCAGCATTTTATAGGCATGTAGTAGAAGTCTCATCTGTATTTGAGAGGATTTTATCATCGCTATTTTGAGCTGGTCTATAGAAACAGCAGGAGAATGACTCCTTCCCAGTGAGGACAGGATTTATGCATCCTTAATTTCTAAACATACCTCTGATTTTTGTGAGGCAGTAATTTTGTTGGGCCTCGTGTAAAGAAGCAATATTTGGAATAAAGCAGGGTAGTATTTTTATGCTGCCTATAGCAATTCAGCCTGCTTTCACAAATATTTAGGTTACAGAAAACCTGCCGTGCACTAGAGAGTAAAAAAAAAAAGATCAAACTTTCCACGTGCTTGGTCCTGTACTCCATTATTCAATCTGGGAAATATGTCTGTCTGTGTAACTTTATTAAAAGGGGCTTCTACTATTTCAGAATTATTTTTTAGAACTACAGTGTTTTTAAGATAGTTGATTGGAAAAAATGATTAAGCTGTCTTGATGGGCATTGTATTTTGAGATTTAGAAGTTTGATCACTAAATAGTGTTAGAGGAGAGCTTCACTTGAGAAAGTATGGAGGATTTTTACTCTAGTTAAGGGAGGGGGCAAACTCTCTCTAGACTAATTCATAGCATGTGAATCTTTATGGTTTTATTTATTTGATACTTTTCATTGGAAATTAATGTGCTGTATGTGCTCTCTCTCATTTAATATGCAAGGTATATGGTTTGGATTTATAATAGCCCGTATTTCAGATATTTTGTATACAAAATTGTTGTAGATGAAATATATTTTTAGATTTAAGAAGAAAATTCCATAAGCCATATAAGAATTGATAATTTCCTGTTAGTCTCAAATAAATTTACTGTCATGCTTATTAATCTTAAGCTTGCACAAGCAGCAGTCTATTTATGCTGTTGAAAAGAAATTCATTACACTCATATAAATATAAATTTAAAATCACTGGTTCTGCCCCAACTTTTTTTTTAATCATTGTTTAATGTCTTTACAAGTATTTTCCTCTTCTTTCAGCTGTCAGCTGAAATGGTGTAAAAGTCCATTCTTTGTGTTGGGTAGCATGTCCTCCTATTTGTCTGTGAATTAGCAATTATCAGAAACATTTATCTGCCTGTAACTTGTTGAAAATAATTCTGTACTGAACTTAAGCACTTTTGTAGGCATACATTGCCTACATATATACATATTGAAAAAATTGCAAATGTAACTGTATCAGCATACCCGTGTTGCTTCTCCCAAAGCCCTTATTTGTTGAAACACTGTTTTACTGTGCAGTATCATGTTGGAATGTATTAGATAGAGTTCAGATTTAGACTGCTGTTTAACAGAAAATTAAATTGCATTTCTCATAACTGCACTTCCTTCCCCTTTGTTTCCGCTCCCCTTCTCCCAAAATCTAATATAGAAAGCCACTTAAAATTCATTCAGTGGCCTCCATATGTAGAAGTGACTCTCTGGTTCCTTTTATAGTTATCTAATATTTTTCTTTTTTGAGGGGGGTCAAAAAGTTGGAGATTTTTTTTCCTTGTTTTCCTAAACATTGCTTACTGGGCGCATATTTAGAGTTAGTTACTAGTTACATGTAAAAGGATAGTTTTCAACTGTTGAGTATTGTTGGCGAAACTGGTTAATAAGGTGCTTTCAAAGTAACTTATTTTTACACAAGGGAAAGGTGGAGATGTAGCTGGGGTGGGGGATGTTGTCCAGCAGGCCCACCCAGTGTGTTTTCATGCTGCAAGGCCAGGGAGTGCTTTCCAGAGAGCCCTGTGCACTCCAGCGTGCGAGATACGGTTAGAGAAGTGACGCCATTTAAAAAAAAAAAAACCTGGATGTGTCAAGTCTGTCTTTCAGCATGAGTGTACGATTAATAGTTTGATCAAATGATTACTTCATAAGAGCAAAAGTTGTTTTGTAGTGCACTGAAATTATTCAATACATTGTATTGACCTCTGCTGCTGTGAGGCTGCTTCATGGAGAGTCCTAGCTCCCCTCCTCACAGCCTCCTTAAACATGTGATAATTAGAAGAGTTTCTGGGTTTTTTTTGGTTAGGTTTGGTTTTTTTAATCAGAGCGTGTACATTATTGCTCACAAAGGTAGTTTGTAGCCATCTCTGTAGAAAGATACCTGAGGTGCACAGGAGGAAAGGGTAAGGGTTTGGTAATCCACATCCTTGTCGCATAAAGGGAGGTCAAGAGGTGGTGTCAGCTAGGGTTGCCATAAAGTTGAGCTGAATCTAGAAGATGTGGAGTGTGCCTGGCTTGTTATTCAGGGCGAAATTTTTGGGCCCAGTAGTCACTGCATTCCAGCCCTTGCTGGATCTTCTGATTTGAAGTGGGCACACCCAGGTTTGAAAATTGCCTGCCTACCTGCTGTGGAAGGAAGGAGAG